TACAGCGTTGTAGTGGAAGCAGCTCGTGTGCCCTGAAACGTACGCACCACATCCTATGGGAGGCCCATCTTTTCTGGACCCGGTCCAGGGTCCATGATATCAGCAGGACTGGAGGGAACGCATAAAGGAGCATTTTTGGCCACGGGCTGTGAGCGAAGGCGTCTACTCCTAATGGTGGGTTGTCTCGTGAGCTCAGTGAAAACCATAATTGACACTGGGAGTTCTCCCATGTGGCGAACAGATCCACTGCTGCTCGGCCGAACCTGCTCCAAAAACCGAGAGATCAGCTCGGGATGGAGGCTCTAGTCTCTATGGTGGGGACCGCCCTTCGACATGATATCCGTTCGCCTGTTCAGGACGCTGGGAATGTACACTGCACTGATGGGGAGCAGGTTTTTATGTGCCCAACACAACAGCTGTTTCACGATGCGTAACAGTTGGGCTGAGCGCACACCTCACTGACGGTTTATGTAAACTGTCGTCACTTTGTTGTCTGTGTGGATCAGAAAATGCTGATCACGCAACAGGGGGCAAAATGCAGAGTCACGTTTCAGATTGTGAAAACATTCTAGCACATTATGTAAAGCGACATGTGGTCCAGCCACTGTGCTCCCACTGCTTGGGACAGACACATTCCTCCCAGCTTGACAGGAATGCGTCTGTGAAAAACTGAGACATGTGACGTAGGCCTGCTGATGGGAACTCCCTCTGACAGAATGAGGGGGTTTCCCCAGTGATTCAGATCGGTTCTCATGGAGGGGGGCACAAAGAATAACCGAAATAACCGAACGGTAGCCTGTTGTACTGATACGGAATCCCCTGGAGGAGAAAAACGCAGGAATTTCCTGTGTTTCAGAATAATGGAAATGTGAAATTATGCACCCTTCAGATCTATGGAGGTGAACCAGCCATTCTGGTTAAGTTCTCCAGCAGCTGTTTGATTGTCAGCACATGGAATTATCTCTCCATGATCTAATTGTTGAACATGGAAAGGTCGAGAATGGGTCTCATTCCTCCGGTTTTTCTCAGAACCAGGAAGTAGTGGGAGGAAAAAAGACCTCGTATTTTCCTCTCTGTTGGAAACTCTGGAAATCATGTTTTTCATCAGGATTGCCTGAACTTCTGACAGGAGCGACGAGCTCTGTTCTGGCGAAGACAGGACCGTCTTTATAATCCCTCTGAATGGTGGGGGTTGAGCTGTGAACTGCAGCGTGTAACCCCTGCTGATCAGATGGACCGTCCATCTGTCCAGGGAACACACTCGTTGCCACTCTGAGTAACGCTCGGAGAGCAGGCATGCAGGCATGTGTGTCATGTTTCTCATGGACATCTACCAGGCTAAAAACCCTTACTGCCATCATCCGCTCCGGAGATTCTCCAGGGGGAACCCAAGGTGGGGGCTCTGACAGAAAAAATGGTGTATGTGTGCCTCTGCACTGAACCCAAGTTACAATCTCACGTTAGAGCTGAGGTGGGCCGGCGCGCACTGAGAGGAGGCGTGAGCACTTTCTGAGTGAAAACGCAGTTTCAGTGGAGGCTGCAGCTGTCTTGGAGAAAAAATGTTTACTCCCACTGCGCTGTGAGATGACAGAAAATGGCAGAAAATAAAAATGGGCACTGGCTAAGAGCGAGGGATTTTACCGGACTTGGTCTACTGAAAAAACATAATTTTTAGCTAACGTGTCAGACGAGTGTTTTGTGATATTTACAGAACTGTGGTGCCATTTAAAACACTGTTTAGAAGTTACCGGCACGTTCTGTGTGGGGAAAGTGTGAAGAAAGATAGCTGTGAGCTCAGTTGATCTGACAGTCAGGCTGGAATCAGATGAAACTTTACTTTCAGAGATGTTCCTGTTATATTTAAAAACATACCTCATCAAAAAACACACACATTCCCCTCAAGGAGCTGTTCCCTGGTGGAGGGGGCCGGCGGAGGATCGGAGTGTGAAGTCGCTGCTGCAGCTGTGGAGCGCCTCTGCTGCTGTTGCTGGCCACGGCGGTCCCTCCAGCGGCCGGAGGGGCGGGAGGAGGACTGTGACATCACCAGATGGTGTACAGTCTCTGAGACCTCCTCGGACCTCTGCGATTTCTGAAGGATGGTCCTGAAGTTGGCCCCGAGCAGCACCTCTGGGGTGATGGGGTCCTCCAGCAGGTCTTTCTGCAGCCTCTTGGACAAGGATGGTGAGAGGCGGAGCCAGGTGGTCCTCAGGATCATGGCCATCCAGGTGGCGATGCGGGACAGGCAGACCGCAGAGGTGGCACATGTTTAAGATGACATCAGCAGCTTTACAGAGAGATGTCTTTGTCTCCTCCAGCAGGTCTGCTTTCTCCAGCCTCTTAGAGATGCTGTAGGCCAGCAGGGCAACGTTGTTGTTAGCTGCGGTCGTCTGGAATGAGCACTGGTGAGCTCGGTTGGAGACCTTTGTCACCATCTGGTCATGCTTCCTTGGAGGGACAGGTTGCTGGTCCATCCTGGAAGCTTTTGCCCCAAGTGTCACTGCCAGGCTTGGCTCCGGGGATCGGTAAAACCCTCCACTTTGGAGATGGAGGCGAAGGTGGAGGCGGCTGTCTTCGGCTTGCTGGGCCCAGCTGCAGCCTCGTTCCAGTGTGACGTCACAGCTGGACAGCGAGGCCAGATGGGGTCAGGCGACGAGCCGGGGCGGAGCCAACCTTGCCACCAGATCATCCGATCAGGGCGGAGGGAGGCAAGGGACGGAAAGTCCCTTGTGTTAGCATCCTCCTGGATTATGCCGGGCAGCTCCGAGAGGAGGGCGCCGACGGCTGGAAGCAGTGTGGTCGCCGACGTGGGAAGATCCGAGGTGGCTGAGCATCTGCTTGGCCGCTCGTCTTCCGTCACTACACTCTCCAGGAGGGAGGGGGCAGCTCCGCATCGCCTTTCTCAGAGGAATAGTTCGATTCACTGCGTGACTCTGCGTCAAAGAAGGCGGTGGCATCGTCCCACGCATAGCGTCCCGCTACAGAAAAAAACACTCAGCACAGTTGCTGCCAACAACGTCTTTTTCTAGGGAATCATTTGATTCACCGTGAGACAAAAACACGTTAGAAAAGGCGCTGGCATCGTCCAGCGAGTAGCGGCCCTCCACAGAAAAACATTCAGCGGGGCTGCTGCTAACATCGCCTTTGTCGAGGAAATCATTCGATTACCGCGAGGAAAAAACATGTTAGAAAAGGCGATGGCGTCGTCCAGCGGGTAGCGGCCCGTTACAGAAAAGCACTCCTCGGCGCTTACCTTGAACAAGGCTGCTCGTCTCTGCTTCTCCTCGGGGAGGAAGAGATCACCGGGATGACAAGAGGTTGGCGTGGCGGAGACCCAGGCATCCTTAACAAAGGTTGTGCCAGTCAAAGCTGGACAGCTTTTCCTTCTTTGTTCTTCTGACAGTGCTAGCTAGCTGGCTTAAGAAAAAATGGGAGCCAATTACCCAGTCTCACCGTAATTTATACGGACCGGGGGTGAGGCCCACACAGCAGGTGGGTGTGGACTAAAGTTCTCAGTGCTGCGCTGTGCGCGAAGGGATAAACCCACTAGCGATAGCCTTAAAGGGCAAAGCCTATACGAAATAGAACAGCAAGGAGTTCAGTGTCTCTTTCTCGGACGTGGGTTACCTGCAGGAGGGCCATAAGAGTCGGGTGCATTATGTCATGGGCAGTAGTCGAAGGCGGGGGCCTTGGTGCTCTGATCCTGACTAACCAAAGCTGGCTCTTGGGACATGGTAATGGCATAACTAACTTATGATTAAACAGGTCTTTTGATTCTTTTTACAGTTTTTACATAATCAATATTTGGAGGTTTATTAGAATTTTTTACAGATTTTCCTCATAATGATGTCATACTCTAACTTTAAAACAAATATTTTGCCAAAAAAAGCTCTTTCTTATTCCCACAACATTTTATGTACATAATTAAACATTAACAACAAAGTCCATGCTCAATAATTCAGGTATACAATCCATCAATTTTCAGTCAGGTCATCTGGACAGTTTCTTTTTTTGTGCTGAAACGTTTCACCTGCGATCCGGAAAGCTTCATCAGTCAAGGAAACACACAACACAAAACTGATTCTTCCCCCAACAGCTTAATCCAAAGTGTTGTTTTCAACCAGTTTGACAAGACTGTCAACAAGGAAGAGGGCCAGCAATGGAGAAGGGGGCGTACCAAAAAAAAACATCTTAGCACCGACAAAACAGGTTTGTTCCACATTGGAGTAATCTGTTGGGGGAAGAATCAGTTTTGTGTTTTGTGTTTCCTTGACTGATGAAGCCTTCCAGATCGAAGGCGAAGCGTTTCAGTACAAAAAAAAGAAACTGTCCAGATGACCTGACTGAAAAATGTTGGATAATTAAACATTATTCATTCAACCTTTATTTATACAGGTTATATAGTGTGTCTCTCACTTAAGACTCCATAAGTTAATCATTTAAGATGTTCATCCAATGATCACTTTCTGAAAGTTTCATTAAAATTTGTCTCAGGAGATTTGGCTAACAGACAGACAGTTGCCTCAATGTTTAAAAGTAAAGTTTTGAGCAACGATCTTGCACAATAAGTAGAGCTTAAATCATATGACATGAAAAACTCTCGGTTAAAAGAACATCACATTATAGCACAATATCTCTCAAACTGACCGAGTTGTAGCCATTTTTGTGTTTCTAAGTGCAGGTGGCTGTGGCAGCCATTTTAAACTGGAATGGCTCCAAAGGTTACTCAGATATAAAGGTATGTTCAGTGATTATTTTGTAAAATTTTCTTTAATATTTCTAAAGTGGATCATGAGATATTTTGCTAACAGACAGAGTTTACTTCAAATAATTAATTGCATCATTTTACCTAAAAAAGGAAGAACACAACAGGAACATCAGCTGTTGTACGACGCTACTACTTCTTACGTGGAGCTGTGAACGCAGCACGCGACGGAGGGCGTGGCCTCGAGTTCACCTGCGAAAAGATAAAAGTGAGAAGCGTAGCGGCACGCGCCGTCCATCCTGAGACAGTGTCTGAGCAGCTGGACGGTGTCTCGGCTTGTGTGGGGTCCAGCGGGACTGAACAGACTGAGGACAGCTCACCTGCTGAACACCAGGTGAGTCGCGTTGTTTACGTCCTGTGACAGAAGTGCGTGTTTTTAATGAACAAGTGTAAATATTGGTGGAGGGGTGTGGCGCGCGCAGGTGTGTTCAAAGGAAGCAGACATCTAACACTCTGTCATCATCCTCAGGTAACAACTTCACATGTCCAAAGTTCATCAAACGTACACAGTTGTTGTGTAAAAACTGTAAAACAAAAAGTAAAAACCGTAAAACTAAAAGTAAAAACTGTAAAAGTAAAAGTAAAAACTGTAAACCAAAATGTAAAAACTGCAAACCAAACTGTAAAAACTGTAAACCAAAATGTAAAAACTGTAAACCAAAATGCAAAAACTGTAAACCAAAATGTAAAAA